AACTGCTGAAAGCTTGCTGCTGCCATTCTCTGACAGAAACAGTTGCTGGGTTCCTGCCACGGCGTACAGCTGGAACCGCAGCTGAAACACCAACACATCGTTTTTGCTTTTTAGTTTTTTCATCATCTCCATCCTCTGCCCTTATCCCGCCGCCGTCATTTTTTCCAACGGGTCTTTGGGCACCCCTCGTCACCCTCCTCGTCCCGTCATCCCCTCCAGCCTGGAGGGGAGGGGGTCATTGGAGTGGGGCATGAGTGGGTGTCACTATCCCTCGCCGCCGCCGCCGGAGCGGGATCGGCGGTACCAACATAAGGTGTCCCTGGTGGTGCGCTACTTCATGATCCCCTGCAACATCTGTTTGATCCTCCTGGCCACATCTACACTGGGCTTCGCCGTGCTCCTGTTCCTCAACAACTGTATGTTGGTTCAAGTGAAACACCCAACTTTAATGTCTATACTCTACTGCAATATTTATTTATTTTACTGCATTTTCATGACAGGTAAACATATGGGCCACTGCTTGGCAATAGAAGGCTTGCCTTAAACCCCAGGTCAAAGTATTAGTGATGTGTCTGAGACACAATTTAGCTGGAAAGAAAAGATTTTGCATTGCACTGCATAGTTTTCCCCTAAATGTCCTTGTTGAAACTGAGGCCAACTTACCTCTTATGATAACCTTATATGCACTTGAAGTAGAGACATCAAGATCGCTACAGTCGCAGCCCCCCTCCTTCTTGATTTTATATCTGCAGGCTTCTGAAATGGCTTCATATCTCCAAAGCCTTGGCATTTACTTTAAACTACAGGATGAAGTATTAAATGGCAGTTAAATGCCTTTGAGAGATGAGAAAGTGTCTTTTGGCCTGAAAAGCTCCAACCCCTCCTGTCATCTGCTTCCACTGGATAATTCTTGCCCCACTTTATATTGAAAGTACAGTGGCTCATTAAAGGGTGGAGAGACAGTGTGTATGCGCCTTAGTTACTGGTGGAGTTCTGACAAGTGACAAGTGGAGTAATTATTTTAGTTAGGTTTATGTTAATCCCTATGTTGGGTATTATTTAAAAAAGGGAATAACTGAGTTTCTGTAAAAACAAACAAAAAATACAACATTCCAGTACCCTGGCTTTAGGAATATATGAATGCATGTCGGCCTGTTATATTAACATAAGCAACTGCCTACATAAAAGGCTATAGTCTAAAAGAATGAAAGTCTAAAAGAATCTGACTCAGCATTTGATGCCAACTTTTGACATTGGACATTTTTTTGACTCTGAACACATTTGAAGTGATTTAAAGGTGTTGCGATCTAATACTCAGCCCCTACCAGTTTATCCTTAAAGAGTCTGTAGTTTGCTCAGCCAGCGCCTGTGCAGCGTTCTGCCTTCTCTTTATACCACCGGCAGTACACCTTCAGTTTCTCCCCTCTACGATGTGCAGTTTTACTCACTAATTCATTCTCCTCACACTCTTCTAGACTTACATGGGTCTATTTCTGAGTGTGCTGATTGTGTTAAAGGTGAAATTCCTCTCAACTCATCAAAGTAAGCTATTATTTATGCAAAGCCCGTTCTCCATAATCACTTGCAAATTATAATAATAAAGTTAATAAGTTAAATAAGTCTTAACAGTTGAGTCAGGTTGAAGTAGTATTTTAGCAACACTTTGAGGGGAGCTACTCTTACATGTCAGCCCTTCTTTCTTTCTCTGTTATCAGGCTGTTTACTTATCCAAGGTCCCTGGATGTTTTGCATTTGTGTCTATTTGTTTCTGTCATATTTGTCAGTCTTTACTTCACATTCTAATCAATGGATGTGTGTGACCAGGAGGAGGATAGTTCATTTATAACCTTGCCATGTTACCGAATCAGTTTCAGCCGGACAGATTCTATTAGATTTGATACAAACTCAGTTAAAGCAGGTCAATCTTCACCTCTCAGATAACTGAGAGCAAAGAAATCTGTAATGGAGAAATTGATAAAGTCGAAAGGGGCTCTATTATGCTGCCAAGAGCCCTCACCATGTGGTCAGAAGGACAGCTGAATGTGATAGTGATAGTGCTGGTGGCGGTGACGTGTGTGTTTGGTGGGAGGAGGGGTGTTAGAGGAGCATACAACCTCAGATTTGCAATTTCTGTTGTCACCATATGGGGTGAAACATGTCCAGACACACACATCAAAACCCCCTGCCCAAAACCATCCCGATTGCTTAACAGAGTCCACACACAGGCGCACTCGCTTTATCATTCTGTACGACTATACATCAACCACACCAAAGGGGAAGGTGACACACATACAAAGATACATGCACATACACACCCCTTTGTGTGCATGGCTAAATGTCACAGTCAGGCACATATTGATTTGCTGAAGATATAGGGTGAATGATGGCCGTGTTGTGACATTCACCCAGCCACGGGAACTCACACAGGCTTTGCCAGGTGCAAAGGGAGATGGGAAAGGTTGATATGTTTATGGAGAGACCTTATCTTGTCCTTTCATTGTGGAAATGTGAAGAAATCATTTAGCTTCACCTGGCGTCTTGGCGGACTTTGTATGCTGCCTTCTCTGTCAGGCTGTTTGTGTTTTGCCCTGTATGACAACGTGCCTCTATCTGTGTATGTTTGTTTCGTTTGTTTGTGTACAGCCATGCTTACAAATAGAAGACAGGACATACATCCTGCGTGGATGTCTGCTTTTGTGTATGCATTCTGAGCAGAACCTCATCTATATCTTCTCATGTCAATTTCAGTTCCCTCCGTTTTATAGGTCCGTTTTATAATGCCCCCCATGACTAACCACCACCACCCCACCCCTTGCCAAAAAAAAAAAAAAAATGGAAATCAGTTACCTTCGTGACAGACTGGGAAACAGTTTCAGCAGACACTTCATTATTCACCTATAGCACCATGCTTGCCTCCTCTCTCCCCTCTTCTCATTTTTCTCTCTCACACACTCTCTCTCTCCCCCTAAGCCCCGGCTGTTGACAAGTAATTTTAAGTGAGTCTAAATTTAAAACTCAGATGTGTCTTGGGATGCCGACGGCTATCGCAGAAGTTCGGTGCAGTGGTTGACGGGGCCTCGAAAAAAAAAAATGTGTTAGCAGGGTAATTGATGTGATGTGCTTTATCTTCCTCATTATCCCTTACAGTGTAGAAACACTGGAGAGACGGCTGAGTGGCTGCACATCCTGTATGAATGAACGTATGTGTGTGTGTTGGTGTGTTTGTTCAGTGAAAGCAGCTCTGACAACTCATCGGGGCTCTGCTTAGTGAGTCAGACAGCTGAGCTGACTGCGAGAGCGCAGGTGTGGTTTGCTTGGGTTGTGCTCAGTATCCCAGTGCCCTGGTACACTGTGACCACAGTGTGATGATGGTGTTCGGGGTCCGCACCGTGTTTGTGAAAGGATGTCCATTTGGTGATATTCCTGGGAAATGATGAGAGCACATGGGCACAAAAAGCATCCCCATAGATTAGTGCTGATGCTCAGTGGTGTTTATTTTTCAGTGATGGTGATTTAATTTTTTTTTGTGCAAGAAAAAAAGATTAGAATAGGGAGCTAATCTCGGCCGGCAATCGGGCGAAGGCAGGGTACACTCTGGACAGGTCGCCAATCCATCGCAGGGCTAACACATTTTAGCAATTTAGAGACACCAATCAACCTAAGCTGCATGTCTTTGGACTGTGGGAGGAAGCCGAAGTACCCGGAGAGAACCCACGCAAGCACGGGGAGAACATGCAAACTCCACACAGAAAGGTCCCAGGTGGGGCCCGAACCCGGAACCTTCTCGCTGTGAGGCAACGGCGCTAACCACTGTGCCACTGTGCAAATAACAAATCAACATAAAATTAATCTACCCTCATTTGAATAGTAGATCATTGTTGCTTTAAATGGTAAATGGTCTTGTACTTGTATAACGCTTTTCTAGGCAGTGAAACACGCTCAAAGTGCTTATACACTATTTTCCATTCGCCCATTCACACGCTGATGGTGCAGCCACCAGGAGCAACTTGGGGATCGGTGTCTTTCCCAAAGACACTTCGACATGTGAACCGCCACCCAAGTAAATAAATAAATTAAAATGCCAAAACATTTTCTGGTTCCAGCTTCTCAGATGTGAGATGTATTAGCTTTTCTCTGTTTTATATTTTAAACTAAAATCTGTTGATTTTGGTTATTTATCAGACAATATAAGCACTTTGTTTGGTGCAACCCATATTCTATTTTCTCTTGGTTTGTGTTTTGCTGCTGATTACACACCACGTGCACTTCATTCTGCTCCATCACATGAGCTGTTACAGACTTATTTACATGGCCTGGTCAACCTTGTGCTCATTTGCTAGCATCAAAGTAAAAACTGCCAAGGCTTTGGGTTTCGTGACATTGTTACTCCAGTCATTTGACACCACAGGTCTTCTTTGGGTGTTGACCAGTAGAGCAGCATGATGCCATTTCATATATCAGGGGCAGGGACAGCGAAAGTCTTTTGACATACTGTATGTAATCATTATTGTGGAATTTCAAATCCTGTCTCGCATATTTCAACCTACAACATGTCCCTTCTCCCCTGTGTTCTCAGACTTCATGTGCTCTTATAATGTCTAAACCTAGGGTTTGGGATGAGGAGACCAAAGAAACAATAAATGACAAAACGATGATGACACCGCTGTTGCTGAAATGTGCTCCTGTCGATTAGCTCAGCTGGGTTCCTGCGGGGCCCAGACACTTCATTAGAATGTGTTAGATAGAAGAGCCAAGCCTGTAGACAGAATGTGTCTCTCTGTTTTCGTAGCAACTCAGTTACCCCTGGGAAGTCTCCCCCAAACTAAAAACCTGTTTCTCTTTCTCCTTTTCTCTTATCTCTTTCAGACAAACCTCCTCACTTCACACCGGCCCAGCCTCCTGATGGTAAGTCCCCTGTGGTTTCTCTCTGCTTGCCTTCATTGAAAACTGGTGTTTTTGGGTGCATTTTTGAATTATGACCTCAGACGGCCGTCTCTGTCTTTGAAGCGAGTCTGTGCACTTCATATTTTGTTTCTGTGCTGTTGGAATGGCGGGTACGAGGCCAGGTCGGCACAAGGCTTTGATGTGAGAAGGATCTTTTGATGACTTGATTTGATCTGCGCTACATGGCCAGTTGGGGCCGATGTTCAATAGCTGTTACCGCGGCAGCAGTCATATCCTTCTGATAGGGTCTAAAAGGATAACCCCTCCCACTGTCCCTGGCTGTACAGAGCAGTGCCGTCACCTCACTTTGTTAACACTTTCCCATTGAACTGAAAGGGAAAGTGCGTGCAAACTTTTGACTGGTAGTGTATTTTCAAAACGGTGGATCTCAGCCAGCTTTAATTGGAGGAAAACAGCTGGTTTTCAGTCTGCTATCATGAATATTTATGAGGCAGCACAGAGAGGCAACATTTGGTGTTGTATCTTTCTTTACCCCACTGACAGAGAGCCAGAAATGGACTCCTACTAGTTCTGAAGGTGTTGTATCATCCAGTTTGTGTGCTAGCTACAAAGCCAGAAGTTTGGAGGGAGAAAACATAAGAAGAAAATGTTTCTAATGATCAAAGCCAGCCAGCTGTTGCCAGGGACAAAAGGCCACAGTGGGAGTTTCCCCACTCTGTCTCTGATAATTGCTCAATCACTCACCCCATAAGCCAGCTTGTTTGGAATAAGGTTTTACCAAAGATGTGGACATAAAAATGTGTCAAATTAGGGGTGATTTATGATGAAAGTGACTGTCTGGTGTAGTCGGGACAAGAGGCTGCCAATGTGAAATGGCCATGCCATTTGGCTTCAACAAATAATTGTGCTTGATTGGAGCATTTCTCAACTTGGCCTCACCTCAACACCTGAGGAGTGCACGAGATGTGTGTTGTTTTCCTTTTTGTGCCTAATATCACAGCCCCGATGCCTCAACTGCAGCCGGCACGGTTTATAGCAGCTATTTGTTTTTTGTTTTAATGACAGAAGAAATTGACTTGACAAATCATTCTATCTTGCAGAGAGGCCCCTGTTTGTCTGTTTTTTGAAGCAAATATTGCCATAAAATTTGGCTTTCGACTGGGAAAATGAGAAGCAGTATGCAGCCAGACAGTGAAGCAGCCTATTTCTCTCTTCCATTGAATTTTCCTCTACAAAAGAAATAACGCCCTGCTTATCGATTGAGTCACTCATTTCCCATGTATTAAAGTTTTTGCTGTCTGAGGGGCACAGTTTGTTTCTGCACTAGTCAAGCGTTTAAAAGCTGCTGCTAGCCCTTAATTACATTTCCAATAGTTCTGTAGGCTTTCCATCAGCAGCCTATGCTGTTTTAATATGCCAAGTAAAACAAAAGGCAAAGTCTCCAATCAGCAGGATAAGCCCGCCCTGTGGGATGCAGTTTCTCTGGGTCATTTAACGCTGGAGAGATTAGTGAGACAATTAGCGTTGGCCCAAATATGACAGTGGGCCACTTGTTGGAGACGTATAGTTTTAGTCATGGAGGGCTGTTTTAGATGATGCTCTAGACCAGCTGAGTTCTAATATAGCTGTGCCATTAGTCAAATCTGCTCCAAAAAGCACATGGCTTTTTTTGTTTAACCTGTCCTCGGTGCCAAGGACACTCTGCTCTCCAATACTTAATTACAGGAAATCACAGACAAGATAGCGAGGAGTCTGCATTTTTACACAGCCTAGTTTGCCTCTGAACTACCGCTGCTGAGTCGTCCTTATTAACATGAGGAAATTCTGCAGAAAGTGAGGGAATTTGTTCTGCAAATCTGAGCAAGCGACTCTTAGGACTCGGGAAAAATGCAGGTTCGGCACAATGTAGGCAAAGCTCTTAGATGGCATTTATGGTGTGCACCGTCTGTAAATAGCTGATGAATACTTCTCAGTGAATGGCCTATAATCACCAGTCAAGATAAGTGACAAAAGTCACAAAGCAGCCTTTAATTACTCTCTTTCTTTTAAAGCTCAAAGCAGCAGTTGCTTGGATGAGGCCACACTCATTATTGTCTGTCGTCTCCTGATAATAAGACAGTTGTTGCGTGTTTGGCCAAAGCTAGAAAGCTCAGAGAATTAGCAGCTTGAGAAATTAGTATTAGAATTTGGAAAGAGGGTTGACTCCAGGAAATGCTTGATGAATGAGGCTCTTGGCCCACAGTTGTCCACACCCAGAGAAGTTGCAGAACATGTTTCTCTGCTGGTTAAGGACATATGAGAGAGGCAGTATATATTACACACTATCTTAGTTAAATTTGGTAACTTTTAAATAAATATTTAAGATGGATTATTACATAAGTCATTTATCTTGTGTGATTTTTGTGAAATCTGGTTTTAATTAAACAAGGACTCTGTTTAATTCTGTCTCCAAGTCTTCAGGTTGACAGGAAAGTCATGCTGAGATGGCTCCCTGGAGGTATCCGTCATTTAGTTTACTAAACACTTGCTAGACAAGATCCAAAATAGGCCAGAGACTCATAAAAAAGGAAGTGTAATGGAAGAGTGGAGACAGTTCAGAGGTCTCCTGTAACTATAGCCGTCTCCAGCAGCCCATTCACCGTGAATCCTTCAATTTTGCTTTTGTCACTGACAATGTGCCCCAGAGGATGTTCCTAACTGACAGACAAAATAAACTCCTGGATTGAAATGTGATTTGATCCAAGATGGAAGGCTGCCTGAGCCAAGTTCCACCGGGCTGACTTACAATTTGAGAACGCTACCTATCGCTAGCCAACATAACTCTTTGTCAGCTCTGGGAGAATACGGCAGCTCCACACCCATTACCCCCTCAAATGGGGTGGGGGGTTGAACACATACACACACTACACTCTTGTAATTTATTCTGCCAGAGCCTTTCCCTGTGTTCTTGACAGTAAGCCTGACTCGGAGAAAGGCAGAATTAATTATGACTCCTTGGCCTATCTTAATTAAATCTTTTCACATCATAGATTTCATACAACACAGGCAAAATATCTACCTCATCTTTTAACTGGGGCAGGGGTACAGGCTGAGAATGTCTCACATCAAGATATCAAAGGTATACTGTATAGTTGCCTCTCTGGGATTATGATTTCACAGAAGACTTGTCTTGTCCAGCTTTTAACGGAGAGCAGCTTGTTAGCCCGTTATTGCGAAAGCAGAGGGGGCAGCTGGCAGCCTCGACTTTATCAACAGAAAGTTTGTTACCCCTTTAAAATACACAGAACTATCAAATTGTGCAGCTGAACTCTGGATCCTCTCCTTGGTCAGTATAGCCCTTCTCATTGTATGTCTGTGCACTCGGCACATGCTTGCGACGGTGTCTGAAGAGCGTGGTAAGTAGAGCTTTTTCGTGAACGAAAGTGAAAGCCTAACGCATTAGCCAAGTCCCCCCACAATATCTAACCAACCATATCTGACAGCGCTCTCGCTCAGACTTGCCTCAGCTTACCCAGTATTGATCTGCCAAGATAAGTTAGAAGCAGTCCTCCAGAGGAAGAATAAACAAAAATATTAGCCAGAAAGGAGTGAGTGGGCTGGCACAGTGAAGTTCAGCACTGTTTGACATGGAGCAATTGTTTATATGGTTAGTGATGTAGGTTTGCTTTGATGTGTCCCCTGGCTGTGGAGCAACCCCCGTCGATGCAGGTTATTCCAGGACCTCGGACCTTGTACGGATCAGCGGTTCATTGATGTGGACCGACGCAGGCTGAGTGATCTGTGGCTATGATTGGACCATGTCTGATTATTAGATGTCCCTGTGTTATATTGTGTGGGGTATTGATCCAGATATCAACTTCAATTCAACTTTTTAAATGTCCACTTGCTGCCAGATAAATGTTAAAAGGCCACCACACCAGTCAATGCATTTTTTAACGCCTGCTTTTTAGTACAGGCTTTTGACTTTTTCTCTCATGACGATACCACCACACTGATGAACGCTTCTTCTGATGGCGACCCTGGGGTTGATGACTTTTTTAATTGCCTATTAATGCTGGCCTTATTCTTAATGACTTTCCAAACCATTTCAGTGTTGCAGATAAATTTCCATTTTCAGAATACAGTCATGTCACGCTCACGTCATCTCAATCGTTTGGAGTGAGGCGGTGATCCGAGCTGTCTTACGTCAGTCTTTTTGTCACTGATATTCCGATAAAATCAACCATCTTCATTATCATAAGTCTTTATTCTTGGCTCATGCAAACAGTGGCATGAACATTGTAAACAACCAAGAGACAAGCTCTCTCCAGCACTAAACAGGAAGCAGCATAGCCTTTACATAACCTTTACAAAGAAGGAGAAACCGGTGGAGTTGCGGAGTGAGCTGTCTGTTTGAATTGTCATCCAATTTGTACTGTAACAGAGTGGAGAAAGGGAAAAGGTGGACAGACCTCGCTGTCCATTTTCAGTCAACCAGGGTCACGTCCACATACTGCAGTGTCTTCTCTTTTCCTTTTTGGTTGTTTTTACCAAGTAAAACACTGCGCACACAACTGCAGCTGTAGCCAAACGCTGCCTTTGTTTCTGCTCCATTTTTCAATTCCTTCTTCTTGTAGCTTTCCACCAGGAGCATGATGGGAAGTAGTCTCAAGAGAAATCTAGTTGCATTCTTGCAAATAGTGACCTTGCAAGGTCCCAGTCGTTGCAAAATCATAGTCTATGACTAAAGCTCTGTGTGACTGACACATTGTCTTTAGATGTGAGAGAGTTTCAGACTTTAGTCTTTTAAGTCTTTTCTGAGTCTTATCAGTCTTCCAATGTAAGGCTAGCATTAGTCACAAAATAAATTCATCCAAACTTTGGATGACTGGTTTCCCTCTTCCTTCGCAGTAGAGCAAAAAGAAACAAAACAAAACAGTAAATTAAAACAAAATTCCACAGTGCTGAGTCTGTGAAATAAATAGAAGGAATGACATCAGCGGGATAAACAAAACCCCACT